GCCCGACTATGGCGCCAAAATAAAAGAGAACCCAATATGCGACACGGTCCCAATCACCCCCAACTGGGCACCACTACTGATCATCAGGAAAGGAAACATAGTAACGTTGAGAGTCCTCGTCGAACTCCCACTTGAGCTCAAGTGCGTCTCCTAGAGCGGAATCATCAGGCCCTGCATCTGGTGTAAAAGTAATCTGTGAGCCGCAGGGACTCAGCAATCTCGCACCCTCGCAATCAAGACTATTTAAGCTTATAGGTAAGGCAAGGTAAATATGTGGAGCTGCAGCAAGCGACTAGCAAATATGGTGGCTAACTTATTCGCAAAAGAGAGCAAGAAGAGGAGGCGAAGCGCGAACGAGAAACTAGAGAACAACCTGCGCAAACATTACTCCAACACCGTGTCCACTTCCCGGACTCCGCCAAGAAGAGGCCATCACGGTAACACACTCAGTTGATTCATTTTAATTAAGTTAAGGTTCAAGTTATCTACAACCGGACATTAACAAATTCCCATCTGCCCATAACCACGGGCACGGCTTTCGAAAGTTCAATCCCTGCAGGGGAGTCCAACTTAGCCCATGACAAGCTCTCATGGTCAACGAAGGAATAGACCTCCTCCCAAGACGTTCCGATCAGACTCGGTATCTCGGTTCTTCAAGACACTTCGACAGGTTAAAACAAATCCAGCAACACCGCCCGAATGTGCCGACAAATCCCTATAGGAGCTGCACATATCTCTTTCTCAGGGCACACTCAGATGAGCCAGACGTCGGGTAGGCCAGCCCAGAGTTGCCCCTGGTAGCCCCGGACATCGCTCGGAGGGACCAACACTCAGAGGAGCACTGGCCCGGGGGGTTAAAATAAGATGACCCTTGAGTCTGCAGAACCCAAGGGAAAGAAAAGGCTAGGTGGCAAATGGTAAAACCAAGGTTGGGCATTGCTGGAAAAGCTTTAATCAAGGCGAACTATCAAGGGGTTCCCATTATAACCCAACCGCGTAAGGAACGCAAAATCCGAGAACATAACACCGATATGACGAAAACTAGGGCGGCAAGAGTGGAACAAAACACTAGGCGAGAGGCCGAGCCTTCCACCCTTTACCAAGTATATAGATGCATTAAGATACATAGCAATATCATGATATCCCAACAAGTAAATAAATGTTCCAACAAGGAACAACCTCCAATCTTCACCTGCAACTAGCAACGCTATAAGAGGGGCTGAGCAAAGCGGTAACATAGCCAATCAACGGTTTGCTAGGACATGGTGGGTTAGAGGTTTGACATGGCAATTTGGGAGGCTTGAAAGCAAGTGGTAGGCATCGTAGCATTGGCATAGCAAAATAGCAAGCAAACTAGCATAGCAAAGATAGTAGTGATTTCGAGGGTATGATCATCTTGCCTGCACAGTTGTCAGAGTTGACTGGATCCTCGAAAGCAAACTCAACGGGCTCCTCGTTAGAGAACTTGTCTCCCGTCTCTACCCAAACAAGACAAACAAGCAACAAGGATACAATCAACCACGTGCAAGGATCAAGCAATATGGTGCAATGATGATATGCTATGCGGGATGCGATGCGGGATGCATATGCAAGATATGACAGGAAAAGCATGAACCTGGCCTGAACTTGGAAATCCAAGTGTGCCAATGGAAATATGAGATGAAATCGCTTGAAAACAATATAAAGAATGCCGGAATCGGAGTTACGGTTTGGAAATGGCAAGCGATTCAAGAATGGCACCGGTCTGCGATTTACAGCAAGTAGCCATCTAAATGCAATGAGATGAACATGCTACAGCACCCAAACATGACAACAAAATACATGGCAGGGATGCATTCAAGATGCTTAACAAAAGTCTAGCACTGAGCTATGGCCAATTCATCCTTTAACAGGTTCAAACAAGCATGGCAAAACTGCAGTTGACAAACAAATCTCAGACTTAGTGAAATTAACACCTGTCTGGAATTTCAGATCAGGTAGCACTCTTCAGAGCAGCAAAACTACATGCTACGGGACCTGAACATGGCAAAGTAAAGCATGGCATGGAGCTACGCAAAGAGCTTAACAAAAGTCCCTTAGTGACCTTGAGCCAAAAGGGATCAGAAAACACAATTGCAAGCATGTGAACATGGCAAAAAACATAATCAGTTTTCAGACTTAGTGAAAACTGGCACATGCTGAAACATAACTCAAGTAGGCATGTTTATGAGCTCGATGCACTTACTACAGGGCAAGTCATGAAAAGGTAAGCATACATCCATTAAGAACACACAAAATGCAAGCTAGACATGGCAAGAACAATAGCATAGCATGCATGGATCAACTACAACATCATCGGCAAAATTGCAAACAAGTTGACAATCTGCCCAGATTCACAAAGTAGCAAAAGTAGAGCTCGATTGACTCAAGCTAGGGTGCTCCATAATTGCAAACAAGGACATGGATGGATAGAGCACTACAATATTAACAAAACATCCTTACTGATCATCCTCAAAAGAGGCACGGATCACTAGGAAACAACATGAACATATGGCATCATGAGATAAACAGATTAAGGACTTAGTGGAGATGCTAAGTCCCTGAAAACAGAATTACCAAGTGCACCACTTTGCAAGCTTGCACTAGTCACCCCACACATCACAAAAATACATGGGTTGCACCTCTGGAAAGATGACAAAACCCTTAACAAAATATATGTAGAGCATCAGGGCATATCATGCACACAATAATCATGGCAACAATGACAAAAAGCTAAATGGAGCAACAGATCTGACAAATATCTCAAGTAGCCCTCTTCTAACAGCATTTTGGGCATCAAGATGAACTCAAATGAAAATGATGCAATGGAATGAAATGATGTACTCTCTGAGATGAACATTTTGATATGCTATATGCACGAATCGGAGTTACGGATGCAAAGTTACGGGGCTATGAACATGGGCACTTGAGCTAGGGTTTCGGAAAAAAATCAACCGGATCTGGATCTGGATCTCGCCGGGCACTGTTCACCGGCGCCGGATTTGTCGGGGAGGCAGCCACCGGAGCGGATTCCGGCCGGCGCGGGTCGCCGAAGCGATGAGGGCGGCGGGCGCGGCGGCTTGGCGAGGCGGGGAGGATCGGCAGCGAGGTGGCGGCGGAGCGGCGTGGAGGCGGCGGAGCTGCGCAGTGGCGGCGGAGCAGCGTGAAGGCGGCGGAGCGGTGTGGCGGCGGCGAGCGGCGTGGAGGCGGCGGCGAGCGGCCGGAGCTAAGGAAGAGGCGGCACGGCGGGGCACCCCGGCGCGGCCCAGTCGGGAGGAGGAGCGGGCCGGCGGTGGGAGGCGGCGCGGGGAGGCCACGTGGCGGCCTGCATTGGCTGGGCGCGGCGGCGCGATTCCGTCCGCCCGGGACGGACGTGTCCGACGGCGGCGCGAGGTGGATTTTTAGGGTTTCGGGGAGGGGGATCCGAGATTTTCGAAGAGGACCTATTTATAGACATAGAGGGAGCTAGGAGAGTCCAAATGAGGTGCGGTTTTCGGCCACGCGATCGTGATCGAATGCTCTAGATGATGGAGAAGTCTTAGGTGGGTTTTGGGCCAAATTGGAGGGGTGTTGGGCTGCAACACACGCGAGGCCTTTTCGGTCCCTTGGTTAACCGTTGGAGTATCAAACGAAGTCCAAATGATACGAAACTTGACAGGCGGTCTACCGGTAGTAAACCAAGGCTGTTTGGCAAGTCTCGGTCCAATCCGGAAATGTTTAATCCCCACACACGAAAGAAAGCTAGAAAAGACCACCGGAGGAGAACGAAGCGCCGGAATGCAAAATGGACAACGAGGAAAATGCTCAAATGCATGAGACGAACACGTATGCAAATGCAATGCACATGATGAAATGATATGAGATGCATGACAACGATAACAACACACAGAGACAAAGATCCGAACCCGAGAATATAAATTAACTTAACGCCGGAAACAGCAAGAGTTGGAGTACAAATTGGGAAAGTTACATCCGGGGTGTTACACCTTGCCCATAAGACTCTAATTCTAGGTTCCTCCTAATTTTTCTATAATCAACATGTTTTCTTTTTTTTCATTTTGGATTTTAAAACATATACGTAAAACACAATCTACTAAATTAATTCTTTGGTCTCAATTTCGCCTACTAGTATTTATAATACTTCAGGAGCTAATGAAACTATTTTGGTAAAATTCAATTCTCTCAATTCCTTGGCAGTCGCGCCAAAAACTCGAGTTCCTTTTGGATTGCCTTTTTGATCAATTACAACCGCAGCATTGTCATCATAGCGGATTATTATACCGTCTTCGCATTTGAACTCTTTACATGTATGTACAATTACAGCTCGAATTACTTCGGATCTTTCTAGAGGAATTTGGCCAATTTGTCTTTGATTACAGCAACAATAACATCAGCAATACGAGCATATCGCTGATTACCAGCAGCTCCTATGACTCGAATACAAATCAATTTTCGAGCTCCACTATTATCTGCTACATTTAAAAGGGTCTAAGGTTGAATCATATTATTTTGATTTCAATTTGTTATGTCAATGCAAAAGGATGAAAGAAATATTGTCTTTCCGGAAAGAAAAACCGGACATTTTTTTATCTTCCATACCCCTTTTAGGGTTCTATACCTCTAATCAAATAAATTGACTTCGTATGGGCATTTTACTAGCAGATATGGAGATAGCTGCTCTAGGTACAGTTTCAGATACTTCCCCCATTTCATAAAGTATACGACCAGGTTTAACAATAGATACCCAACATTCGGGGGACCCCTTTCCCGAGCCCATACGTGTTTCCGTGGGTCTTAGTGTAACCGGTTTGTGGGGAAATATACGTACCCATATTTTTCCACCACGACGTGCATATCGTGTTATTGCTCTTCGTCCTGCTTCGATCTGTCTCGCTGTGATCCAAGCGGGTTCAAGTGCTTGAAGAGCATATCTACCAAAATAAATACGATTGCCTCGGCAGGATTTTCCTTTCATTCTTCCTCTATGTTGTTTGCAAAATCTGGTTCTTTTGGGGTTATAGGTGATGGTTTTCTTTCTTAGTTCCATCTGTACTGCAAAACTGGACATGAGAGTTTCTTCTCATCCAGCTCCTCGCGAATGGAATGAGAAATCATGTAAATTTCTCTAATTCATAATATTCCAAAATATTACGGTTCAGATAGATACACATTAATAGATAATAGAAAAAGTTCAGTTTTTTATATTGAATTTGTTAAAACAGAAAAATATAATATATAGTCAAAAAAGAAGATCTAGAATATATCCAGATGTGTGTGTATATTTATCTAAATTCTATATTTATAGATAATGTAATCCTTCTTAAAAAAATCCTTATTTTTACTCTTATTGAATCGCGGTAAAGTATTCTAATTCAATAAGAATTTCGCGGGCAAATATTTACTCTTTCCTATCTTATTTGTTAATTTATAAACTTACCAAATAAGACAATTTTTTTGGTTTGTTCCGCCATCCCACCCAATGAAGTGTTAGGATTCTTTTCAATAAAATCCTATGGAATCATAGGTTCTGTCGTTCCCACTGCTTCTCCTTGAATGGTTAGGTCTGAATCCCGCAACGGAGCTTCCAAAAAATTTCTTTCTGAGTTAATTTTCTCAGTTTTATTAACCCGGGCGGCTCTTTATTATTTATTTAAATTTGTAGTTCTTGTTTCAAGTTACAATTTTTAATTCTCTATTATTTTTATTATATTGATGCATTATCACATTGCCTTTTATGATGTAATTCATAGACCATACATAGTGGAATCCTATATCTTATTTATTTCCTCTTCCTTCTTTCTATCATCCCTCCCTTTATCCACATCCCTTTAGTTTTGCTTCACAACCTAGAATCACTTTTCTTTTTTAGAGAAAAAATTGCAGTTGCTACAACTATATGACACATCTACTCATTTATGATAGAGGTATTTATTCATATAGTGACTGTTTCTTAGTTAGGATCTCGACAATATGAAGCAATAGGTTGGTTATTAGTTAATTTTCTATAATTACTAAGTTTTTTTCTTAAAAAAGGAAAAAAATAATGAGTCACACGCTAATCATAGCAATTATATTAAATGATTTATCAATTTTCATTAAATCTTATAGAAAGAGGTATAATTTCTTCTTTTGCAGGGATTTCAGGAAAAAGTCTCTTGTCATTTTTTATTCTATCAATGGACAGAATCTGAAGACAAGATTACTTATTCTTCGTCTACGAATATCCAAATTTTTACACCTAATACTCCATAGATAGTCCGAATTGGATAGCAGCAATAATCAATTTTAGCACGAATTGTTTGGAGGGGAAGTCTACCCTTTTTAATAGATTCGGCGCGTGCAATTTCTTTTCCTCCGAGACGACCCGCAATTTTTACTTTTACTCCCCTTATATCTTCTTTTTAGTTAATTCAATGGCTTTTTTCATTGCCTTTCGGAATGAAACTCTATTTTTTAATTGGAAAGCTATATATTCTGCAAGAATGTTAGGCTGTCTATAAGGTTCTTTAACTTTTTCGATAGAAATATTAAATCTCTGGTTTACAGAGTTAATTTCCTTTTGTAGATCTTTCTCTAATTCTTCGATTGCTCCTTTTTTTTCTTTAATAAATTTGGGAATCCAATATGTATTATGACATGGATTGTATCAATTTCTTTTTGGATTTCTATATGTGTAATTACTTCGGAACTTGAACCTGAGTCCATTTTTCTATTATGTGTAATTACTTTGGAACTTGAGTCTGATTCTATTTTTCTATTCGATCCCTTTTTCCTATTCTTTTGTATATAGTTCTTGATACAATCCCTTATTTTTTATCTTCTTGTAGACCTTCAGAATAATTTTTTGGTTGTGCAAACCAAAAGGAATGGTGTTTCTGGGTTGTACCAAGTCTGAAACCGAGTGGATTTATCTTTTGTCCCATATTTTTCTATTCTATATTTTTTTACTGGGAATCGAAATCTTAGATGGATCTAAAGGTTATTTAGATTTCTTTACTATATTTAGTACAATTGTTATATGACACATGCTTTTTTATGGGGAAACTACGTCCTCGAGCTTGAGGTCTGAAGAAATTCTTCATAATAGTACTCCTACTGACTTCGGCTTCAGTAATAAATAAATTCGCTTTGTCAAAATCCCTATAATGAGTAGCATTTGCGGCTGCCGAATAAACCAACTTTAAGATGGGATAAGATGCTCGATAGGGCATGAGGTTCATTATCATAACAGTTTGCTCGTAGTAACGCCAACGAATCTCGTCAAGAACTCTTTGTGCTTTGAAAACAGACATAGGGATAAGTTTTTGTGCTTTGAAAACTCTCTCGAACTTAAGTAGACGATCGGTTGGAACTTTCCTTGCGAGTTTCCTTAGCCCACTTTTCTTCTTCTTTATCCTAGGGATATACTTTACTAGTTTGAAACTTGTCATAAATAAGGTTATTCCCCGCCTACCTTTACTTTATTTTGAATCTTTTTTTATTCTTAATCTTTCTATTCAGAATTCAGTTAACGACGAGATTTAGTATCCTTTCTTGCATTTTCATAACTCGTGAAATGCCGAGTAGGCACGAATTCCCCCAATTTGCGACCTACCATAGGATTTGTTATGTAAATAGGTATATGTTCCTTTCCATTATGAATCGCGATTGTATGGCCAACCATTGTGGGTAGAATGCTAGATGCCCGGGACCACGTTACTATTGTTTCTTTCTCCTCCTTCATATTGACCTTTTCTATCTTTGCCAATAAATGGTGAGCTACAAAAGGATTCATTTTTTTCGTGTCACAGCGGATTACTCCTTTTTTCCTTTTTAAAGAGTGGCATTCTATGTCCAATATCTCGATCGAACTACGGAGGTCAGAATAAATAGAATAATGATCAATGGAAAAAAGAAAAAAAATCCTTTAGATGGATAAGGGGCGGATGTAGCCAAGTGGACCAAGGAAGTGGATTGTGAATCCACCATGCGCGGGTTCAATTCCTGTCGTTCGCCCATCGCATTATTGCAAATTCCAAAAATGCAATTTTCCATATTCCTAGTTACGTATTTACTTACGGCGACGAAGAATAAAACTATCGCTATATTTTTTCCTTTTCCTAGTTCTTCTTCCAAGCGCAGGATAACCCCAAGGGGTTGTGGGTTTTTTTCTACCAATGGGAGCTTTCCCTTCACCGCCCCCATGGGGGTGGTCCACAGGGTTCATAACTACCCCTCTTACTATGGGGCGTTTACCTAGCCAACACTTAGATCCGGCTCTACCCAAACTTTTTTGGTTCACCCCAACATTACCCACTTGTCCGACTGTTGCTAAGCAGTTTTGGGATACTAAACGAACCTCCCCAGATGGTAATCTTAAAGTGGCCGATTTACCCTCTTCTGCAATGAGTTTCGCTACAGCACCTGCTGCTCTAGCTAATTGCCCACCCCTTCCACGTGTGATTTCTATGTTATGCATGGCCATGCCTAAGGGCATATCAGTTGAAGTAGATTCTTCTTTTCTCTCAAAAAACCCCTTCCCAAACTGTACAAGCTTCTTCCAAAGCATACGGCTTTCTAGATGTATATGAGGATCTCTAGACAGATGGATCTTATATGAATCATATGATGAAGTACCACATGAGTGGATATATAGGAAAGGAATCCAAATCTGCCGAATCGCTCATGTTATGATCTTCTACATCCTAGGTCTCTGCGTTCCGTCATCTGGCTTATGTTCTTCATGTAGCATTCAGATCGAATGACTCTATGAAATTACGTCGATACTTCCACATATTATGGGTAACGTAGGAGACATCCCTATTTTCCCCCGGGGGTCTGAATTACCACTGCTTAGCTTTCAATTTGCCTCTGACCATCAAATTAAATGTGAATAACCCGTCCCCCTCTCTTTGAAACAAGGGGCGCTTCCGGTTCTGTGTGTGCTTCAAACAATTTTGTCTTCTCCATATTACCATATCTCTAGAGCCAATAATTTTCTATGAGGAACTACTGAACTCAATCACTTGCTGCCATTACTCAATAGTTTTCTGTTGAGGTCTATCCCGTAGAGGTAGTCAAATTGGATCAGTGATCGATTTCTAGGTTTCGTCGTAAACCTAATTGGTTACTTCCAATTACGTAAATCAATAGTTCAAACCGCACTCAAAGGTAGGGCATTTCCCATTGATATAGGAACTTTTGTACCAGAAACAATAGTATCTCCAATTATAGCCCCTCTGGGATGTAAAATATATCTCTTCTCACCATCCCCATAGTGTATGAGACAAATGTATGCATTTTGATTAGGGCCGTATTCTATGGTTACGATTCTACCAGATATGTCTTTTTGATTCCGTCGAAAATCTATTTTATGGTATAGGCGCTTATGACCTCCCCCTGTATGCCTTGCGGTAATGATTCCTCTGGAATTACGACCTTTACCACAATGGTGTTGTCCATGGATCAATTTATTTCGTGGATTGGATTTCACTTGCCTGTCTACAGTTCCCTTGCGTGTGCTCGGGATAGGTGTTTTGTATAAAAGTTTCGCCGTATTATTAAGTATTCTCCTTTAGTTTTTTCTCTATCTAGAAGTGGAATAGAATAACCCGGTTGAAGGGTAATGATCATACGTCTGTAATGCATTGTATGGCCCAGAATAGGTCCTATTCTTCTACCTTTTCCAGGTAGCCGATGGCTATTCAGAGCTACCACCTTAACACCAAAGAAGAGTTCGACCCAATGCTTTATTTCTGTCTTAGTGAATCCCGATTCGACATTAAAAGTATATTGATTCTTTCCCAATAAATGAAGACTTCTTTCTGAACATTGTTTTCAAGAAGGGAGGACGATGAGGACATGACTACCTTAGATATGACCAAAAATATTGCATACATGCATATTTGTGAGGTGATTTCTAATGCAAACTATGAAATAATTTATTTATATTATCCAAGACAAAAATACTTCACGGACTTTTGTGCCATGTCTAATTGCAGGTGTATGGGACATTTGTACAATTTACATATGAAGATAAGGGAAAATAGAAGTTTAGGTGTTGTTCAAAAAGTCCTCTCACATTGCTTTTAACACAAGAGAAGATAGAGTCCAAGTCTCTCACGTTCTGGACACAGATTCGGACTACACATACATACTTGATTCAAAATGTCAATATCTCATTCATACGGACTCCGAATTGGGTGATTCTTTTTACTTGGAAATTAGACTTCATGCACTTTCCAACCCAATTGGATTCACCTTAAAATTCGTCCATAGTGTTAAGATATTGACGAAACAATCTTACGCTGCACCAGAATCCAAGTCAAACTACAAGTCCAAAGGTGTTGCATCACCTCCACTTGGACCCATGAGCCTTGTATGACCTTGGCTTAGTTTTAGGCTGCCATGGGACGTCCTACCACCTCCTTGGCCGCCAACCCTTACCCCTATATAAGTAGATCAATCTAGTAGCTTTTTGCTTGAGATTTGTTTAGTGAAAAGTTAGCCATTGCAACTTCGTGTACTTTGTTTGTGTCCAACGACCAGACCAAGACTACTTTCAGATCCCCACCATCATCAATACTTCATCCATATTCGCAATATTCATATTGTTTTATCATATTCTTGCTTGTTCTTTGATTGCTTGCAGGAATAGACCTTCGTGGTCAGGTTGATCAAGCTCCGGCGTGGTCAATAACCTCTCGGAGTTGGTTTAGCGATTGCTAAGGCGCAACGTCATTGCACATTTGTTGTCGGATCGTCAAAGTCGGCTCCACCAAATCGATAGTTACCATCTCATCAAAAGATAGGGACCCTCGCATCCGTCAGTTGGCGAAAACCTTGTCGTCACGAGCTCCGGCAGTTTGCACTGCAATGGTATAAATGCTTAGAAACTCTGATTGATGTGTCTTGCCATCGTACTTTTCCACCTCTGGCTTGATGTTTCGGGAACTAGGCCACTGGACTTGCCGCAGCTTCTAGGTAATGCTGGACAACCCACCTCGTAAGGTAGGCCGCCATTGTTCCCCACCGCAGGCTCACCAACAGCGGACCCTGCACGCCTATTAGATTGACCGCGTGCTTCCCGTCAACATTCAGTGGTTCTACGGGCATCTTCCTTGCACCGTTCTTGTAGAACTTGGTGCTGGTCGCGGTGAGCTCGCGGGGTTGGATGATGCCATGGACACGTCATCATGGGCCTTGACCCGCTGGCCTTGCCGCTGAGGTTGTTGTTGTCGTGGAGGAGACTGCATGGTGGGTGCTCCGCCTCCAGTCCTCTGCCCGGCAGCGCACACCGGGGAGGTGGGCTACTATTGCGAAGGTACTACCCTATGCGGTTTGTCATTATTAGCGAAACCAACAAGACTCTAGATGGTAGCTATGCACTCTCCCATCTTCTCTGCAGCAGGAGGAAACCCTAGAAGTAGCGATGCATGCACCAATGCTTCTTCTGGTGTGGACGACATGGAGAGGCGCGCGGAACGAGAGGTGTTCTTACTTCCTACAGACCTGGAAGTAGCCTGTCTCGAACCTTCGACCTCGGCCTGTTATCGCCAGCGTGATGACATGCATGTTGGCCTTGCATATCTTGAGGATGATCCGCATGACCATTGCCATGGGGACGCTTGGAGCCACCGATGTCGTGATGCTGCTAGCCGCATGAGGCTTGAGATGGTTGCGGCGTGAGCGCTGGTGTGGGTTTCTTGGAGTGTGCCATGGTGTCCCTGGAGTTCGTCGTGCCTCTGGCAGGGGGTACAACCCTATCCTTGGACCTGGTAGCATGTGGGTTGTTGTCGTTGCGGACGACGTCGCACGCCTAGCTGTGATCGCCAGAATGCCACAGAGGTTGTTCTTGGCCTCCGCCACTCCCGTCACCGCATGTGTCATCGCCTGTCTGCGAAAGCACTGGCAACTTAGATGAAGAGGGACCAACTGTTGTGGTGCCCTTCCTGTTGGGTGCCATGGTAATGAAGCTGTTGATGAAGCTGACATGCTAACTTCTAATTCTGGTTCGCACAAGCGACCCCCCTCCCCGGTGTGCCAAAGATGTCGTGTGTACAACCATTTATAGGATCACGGTGATCCCTTTGTGGTTCGACTGGAGGGATCGACAAGCACAAAGAGCAGAATCAGGAGGAAATACATGAGGTTTACCTAGGTTTGGGCCCCTGTGAGGCGTGAAATCCTACTCCTACTTTGTGTATTCAATGTGTATGCATCCAGTTACAAGGAGCGCATGTCTGGCAAGGTGCTCGGGAGGTGCATCTACGCGTGCAAATGAACAGGGTTTCGACCTTTATTAAGGTAGCCATGGCCCTCCTTTTATTGACCAAGGGGTTACCACAATGGCAAAATGGTAGAAACACACTGTAGATAGTGGCTACAGTGCCAAATATCTAACTCTGACGGGTTAGGACAAATGCATTTAATGCACCGTCAGGTGTCTTGTGGATGCAGATCACCGGCAAGGTTGATCTCTCCTTCTATGTCGTTCACACATCTACCTTCTATTCCTTTGACACATCATTTGGATGGGTGTCACTAAAGTTGTATCTTCTGCGGTGAGCTGCCACGTGCCCACACAAGTCTCACATAACTGCCTGCCCCCTCCACACCTAATCGACAAGTGACAACCTGGTCGATGAGGTGGAGCGGTGGCTAGGTAGTGGGATTCTTGCCGGGCTCGGAGCCTGCCGGACTTGATCCTTGGAAGGCTCTCCCCGGCAAGGGTCTTTCCAGGTCTTTGAGCTGTATCTTCAGCATTTCTGATATCTGCCTTCTGAGATCTTCTTTGCTTCATGTAATATGATCATGAGTTTGGCTTTAGTTATCCTCCGACAAGCCTTACTGTCGGGAAGGCTGCTACTTCTTGTGCATAAGTCCAGGGTATTAAGGACCCAATTATTAATACACCAACAATGGTCGATGAAGATGAAGTCATGGTGGTGACCGAAGCAAGCACGCGGTCATCAACATCATGCACTGCCAACTACAATCAAGCTGAAGATGTTGCTATTTACTACGCTTGGATGAACATCTCCATGGATGCAATGATTGTAATAGATCAAACCAAGCCTATGTTTTGGGAGAGAATTACGCAGTACTACAACAACTTCATGGAGGCATAATCAAGCCATACACAAGGTTCTCATGGGCATTATTAGAGCACATTCGTGACCAATGCAACCGATGGTCTGGTTGCATCAACCAAGTGAATCATGCACCACTGAGCGGTGTGCAAGTGGCTGAGTATGGCCCCTACATCCAAGAACTATTCAAGCATGGGAACAACAAGTTCGGCCACAAGCCCTTCGCATCGCATCATTGCTACAAAGAGCTCTACAAGAACAAGAAGTGGGTCCAAAGAGTTTCAGAGACCAATCCAAAAGATCAAGGTTGAGCATATCCATTGAAGAGGATGAAGAGGTTGATGAAGAGGCTAATAATAGACCGAAAGGGAACAAAATTGCAAAATAAAGAAAGAAGATAAATGTGTACAATGGCACATACAAAGAAGAACTTTTTGCCATGATTGAGGCCAAGAAGGTGTTGGCGGCCGAACACAAAGAGGAGAAGATGTCAATGTGGAATGAGCTCAAGTTCTTGGAGGATGGAAAATGGAAGGCCAAGTTGACGTTGGAGGAGAGAAAGTTGAGAGAGAAGGAGTGTAGACTTGCACTTGAGGAGGAGATATTTCATGATGCCAAGAAAGCCGAAGATCATGCTATCATGTTCATGAATACAACCACAATAGATGAGAACACAAGAAAGTATTAGGAGCTCACTCGTGGGAAGATCTTGATCCAAGTGGAAAGCTATCTTCGGAATGGTGGTGGTAGTGGAGACCGAGAGGGTTGTGGTGGTGGTGGTGATGGTGATGGTGGCGGCCGAGAGGATGATGGTGGTGTTGTTGGTGGTGGTGGTGATGGTGTGTAGCGCCCAAGATGCGATTCTATCCCAATCACGTGATGAATTCATGATTGGGGCACAATTGCATTTCGAACGCATAGCAAGGTGGATATCATTACAACATACCATTTACTAAATATATGAGAATACAAGATAAAGGTTTACACTCGCGACAAGCTACAACATGAATACAACAGTTCATCAATACATATCAATCATCATATAGAAGAGCAGGATCCGACTATGGATGAAATCAAACAAAAAAGAAGAACGACA